AAAAAAAATATTAATATATTTATTTTATTGGATATAATAACATAATTAAAATATAATTAATAATATATATTTTATAAAATTATTAATATTTTATATATAAAAAAATAAAATAAAACCGGAACGGCCCGTTCTGAAACTGGAACGGGCCGTTCTGGTGCATTTTGGGTGTGTTAATTTTGCATTTGGAACGGGTCGTTCCGGATGCAAAATTAACACACCAAAAGTGCATCCAGAACGTCCCGTTCCGGTTTCAGAACGGGTCGTTTTGGGTCTAGGTGTTTTCAAAAAAATTCTCATCCACGTGAATGTCACGTATGCATCTACGTGGCCAAAAATTAATACCGTTAAAGCAATTTGGACGGAAAGTCCCACATTGAAACCAATTAATTAATATAGGACTAACCTGAAACCAATTAATTAGTTTGGGACCAAATTGAGACCAAAAATTCATGAGGGACTAAATTGAAACAAAAAAAAATTATAAGAGAGCAAAATAGGGTTTTAGCCTTTTTTTAACATGATATTTAAGTTTTTTCAATTGTCATGACTAATTTTCTTAAAAAATTTATTGTGTTAAAATTATTTTTCTTATAGTCTTTTTTTATTATACACAAAATTTAAATTTAAAATCTTGATATTTTATAATAAAATATTATTTATACCTTCATATTTAAATTAGTAAGAAAAACTCATATTGATTTATATATTTTTTATAACTTGTAAAATAGGTATTTTTACACATTTGTGTTTAATAAATATTAGAGTTTTCATTGTTAAATTCATAACATTTGTTATGAAAAGTTGTTAAAATTAATAAATAATAGAAAAGTGGAAAATAAAAAAAATATTAAATAAATATAAATACATTATCATAATGATTTATATTATATATAAATGTTATATTAATTTTTTTAAAAAACTCATTTATTTTTTATTTATCTATATTTATTTAAAATATTTTTATTTTTCTATTCAAAGAATTTTTTTAGTTTATGTGAATAATTATTTTCTTTCACTAAATAAAATCAATATCATTATCTTTTTAATAATTTTTTGTTACTTTTATTTTTTGAACAAATGTATTAAGACACAATATGCGTTTTTTCTCTTCTATATTCTACTATATATAAAGAGTACATTGGTTGTATGATTTATTTTTGGTTTTCACTTTTTTTACATGATTATAGTTCCTGTAATATTTTATCTCCGATTTATGCTTTTGATTGAAATAATATTTTATATAGAAGGTAAATTTTAATCATAGAGCCAAATAAACTTTTAACATCTACGTAAGAATTAAGATTCACGTACTAAAATAAATAAATAAATATATATTAACTCTAAGCGTGTGATTTAGTGGTAGGAGTTGATTTACGCTTAAGCAAGGTCAGGGGTTTGAATCCTGTCTTTTGTATGTAATCGAGTTAAATCTTGAGGCCAGTTATTCCATCATTTGAAGTGCCTTCAACCTAGCGAGGAGATTAATTAAATAGACAGTTACATCATATTATTTCATGTCATCATCTATATATATGAGTTTTAATATTTATTTGTAAAAATTCATTTATAATATCTTTAATCATAAAAATCAGGAATAGTAAGCAATTTTAACAAGTATAAATTAAATCTGATACGCATGGATGATGACATGAAATAATAACATAATGTGGTTGTTATATATAACGATAAAAATAATTTTTTTATGAAATTTCATAAATTATAAACAAATTTCTAACCTGAATCTAAATCACAATAATATATAAAAAAAGCCTAATTCTAATTTTTTAAATTTATATACCTAACTAAAAATTCTTTAAAATAATTCATATTATATTAATCAGGCCACAATTATTTTCATATCTTCTTAAATTTGTGTTTACATTGAGGACAAAACATCCATTTCAGGACAATTTCTACCATGGACCAATACATCACATGGTTCATTAGTGAACCACTAAAAGAAAGTAAGTTTTTTATGTGGTTCAATGGTGGAGAAATAAAAAAATATCGTTTTTTTTTTATTCGTCCCTAGAGTATCCACCACTAATAGCAGTGACTAATCTCCTCGCTACGTTGGAAGCACGGTGAGATAAACTTATTTGATGATAAAAAATTTATTAATATAAATTTTATTTTCTGATGGTAAATGACCATTTTGTCTATAAAAAAAATTATCATCACTTCCACTATCAACTCCAATCTCTTTCTTCAACACTCCTAGTGTCATTCCCGTCAACGCCAACCTTCTTCAACTCTTCAACTTTGATCTCCTTCTTCAACTTTGTCAGCCTCAACAACGACATTGTCTACAACCCTCGAAGGTTTCATCTCCCCTTCTCATTTGACGATGAACACCTCAACATCGATCTCAAGATCGATGACAAGATCATCGCCGCCTACGAGCTCTACAACCTCACTTACAACAATGTCTTCATCCTTGACAACAATGTCTTCATGATGGATGTCAATGTGAAGAAAACGAGATTCGATTAAAGGGCAAAGAAGGAGAAGGTACACAACAAAGATGGAGAAAGTGCAAATCCCAAACCCGTAACACTTCTTCCCGATGAGCACTAACTCTGATGATAATTAATAGTAAACCCTTACTCCAACAAGAAATATGTGTAAACGATATCCCTTTTCCTTCCTCTTTCTTCGCTAAAACCCTATCAAACTCTGCCGTCGAAAATCATTTGTGCCTATCATGAGAACCTCGCGTTACCATCCTCCCTTGCAACTCGGCTCCCTGTGTCACTTTCGCCAAGCCTGTCACCATCGACAACCACCACCACCACCTCGTCGTTTGTGACGCTTACATCAAGCCCATTGTTGTCGATAACCACCACCACTTTATCATTTACAACACCTACAAGCACGTTTACTACTAGAGTGAAACCTTAGCTTCTTTAAAAAAAGGTTTCTTTTAGTAATTCTAAATATTTTAAATAAATAAATAAGTAAATAAAATTATTGTTCACTTGTACACTAGTAGATAATATGATAAACTTGTCCACCATAGTCACTGTTCCATTTTAGTGTTATGACTTATGATTAATAATGATGATGAGTAACATGTTATAATACTCATTACTATACACTTGTGCTTAAAAAAATTGCATTTAAATCCTTACCTGTATAAATAATAGTTTTGTATACTTGTTAACCGCACTTTACTTATGAGCATAGTTGCAACAATAATTCTTGAGACTTCAGTGAAATTCATATTCAAATTTTAATTTAAAATAATCTGTTGAATTTCATTTCATTTTTTATCAACTAAAATATTATTGATTAAAGACTATAATAAGTTTTTCTATCATTTTGTAATGACTTGCATTATTGTTACACTTCGTGAAATCACTGACTAATAGCAAAACTATTATTACTTACAAGTCGCACGTCCACAAATACTTTGATATGTACTATATAACATGCATATATATGTAAAGACAACTATACAACTACAAACAATATAAGTACAATTACCTAGTAAGAGTTGAATATATGATCTAAGTGTTGATCAAGCACAAACTATACAACTACTACAAGAAGACAAAACAAAACATCCAAAAGCATAATCATCCACACGATGACC